GAACCTCTTCTAACTGGTTCGGTAGATTTGACGAACCGGTTCTTCCGAATAGGTGCGAACTGGTAGGAACCCACCTCTGAAATCACTGTATGTTATCATCTCTAAACCTTTTCACTGGTGATCCTTTCATTATGCAGTCATCTTCTGTGGATAGAGATTTGCTTCCCTCATTCAATGTGCCACTTTTCAATGATGAGGCCCGTGTTTTGAAAAAGAAATGCTTATATTGCTGTACTGCAGATAGATACCTGTCTAAATAGTGCTGTTTGAATTTCACTTTCATTTGCATTATATTCTTGTTCTTAATTGGTTTTGCAATTATTTGTTGTCCACTCTGAGTGGGCTGTGTACCTGTCAAACCTGATATATAGCTACTCAAAAGAACACCTCAAAGTTTGAAAAGATTTGGGGGTTGGACTGGGAAGTTCAGATTGTGCCCCAGACATGTTCCACATTTGATAACAGACTGGTTCTGACAATATTTCAAGGCGGCAATTCATATTCTGGAGCCAAAACCCATATTATTATGCTGAGCATGCTTTAACATTTTTCAAAAAATATATTCCAAATAAACAGAACCCAAACATTTTGAAATGAGAAAAAAATAATCCTTCCTAGTCTCACAACCATTCTAGGTCTGATTGCTAATCACAGTTAACAATCGTATCACTCCACTTACATCCTCTTCATTAGGAATCTCATTTCCACTGTGTAAACACTGTCATGTGTAATAAGGAAAGCTGATTTTTAATATGGGCTATGAGGTAGGAAGATTCCCCATGCATGCACTTGCAATAGAATTTTATGAAAACCATTGTTTTCACACGTCAAACATTTACAATCCGAGGAAAATAGCACAAGCTTTTTACAGGACTGCTAAGGTAAAAGTAAGGGTTCCCCTGCACAAGCATGCTAGTTGTTTCTGGCTCTAAGGGGCGGTGCTCATCTCCATTTCTAAGCTGAAGAGCCAGTGCTGTCTTCCTAGAGTCGGGAATAACTAGCACATATGTGCGAAGGGAATCTTCACCTTTATGTTTGTTTATTTATTATATTTTTATCCCATCTTTATTACTTTATAAATAACTCAGCAAACATACATAATACTCCTTTGTTTTCCTGTTTTAACCACAACAACTCTGTGATGTAAGTTGGGCTGAGAAAGACTGATTGGCCCAAAGTCATGCTACAGGTTTTTCACACTTAAGGAGAAACTGGATAACTCATAGTCTCCTGCTTCCTAGCTCAAGACCTTAACCACTACACTAAACTGACTCTTAGTAAAGCCACATGTAACTTGAGAGACCGCCTACTGCCAATCACCTCCACCTATTAGATCCCATAGATTAGGCCTCCTCCGAGTCCCATCTGCCGGNGGTTGTGTCTTTAAATATAAATGATTCTAGATAAAAACATGTTTAAATAATGGTAATTAAATGAGAATTGTGGGACAGGGATAATAAAATACACAATTTTTCTTTCTCGACTTAAAATGTACAACTCGATTTGAATGAAGCATATGTAAGGATGGTGGAAGAAATGCCCGGAATATATTTGTAACCAATCGATACGCTTTCAACAAGATGTAATGAAAGATGATCCTTTTTGTGTGTGTTTTTTGTTTAACTAAAACAATAAAAAATCCCCCCCCCCAAAAAAAATGTATTTCAGGTTTTAAACAGAAAACAAACATTAACCAACTGAAGAATAGTAGACATTGTTTTTCTTTAAGTCTGTGTTAATTATAAGCAAAAGGGGACGTATTCTGTCAACTCAAGATCTTAAACTAGATGGGTGGACCTCTCTTCCAACGTATCTCCCCTCCTGCTTAGACACAGGATTGATTCTCTTTCCACGATCTCAGAATTAACAATGCCACTTCCAATTTGAGTTGATACTATCAAAGATCTGACCAGCATAAAGAATGTTGATACACCATAATCAGTTTTCAAAAATAATATCTAGAGTCATTTTCTCATAGTAGAGGCTGCCATGTTTTCATTTTGACTGTCAGAAATGGGTATTTCTTGATCTATGAATATTTAGAAATCAAGACTGTTTCCCCCTGTATCTATTGTAGGTTAACACTGCAGCAGTATTATGTGGCAGTACCATTGCAGCAAGTAAATGTTATTTTTCACTGCATATTTTTAAAGAAAGAAACCTGTTTCTAGTGTACAAGGAGAATAGGAAATATAAATAGAAGCAGTTTGTGTCATCTGAAACACCTGGAAAGTTCGATGTTGCACAGCAGGCCAGCTGTTCCTTTCTAGGGTAGCATACAATTTTTTCTGGAGAAAGACTGTCAGATTGTTTGCATTAATCTTGAAGCCCTGTTTGCTGAGATTTTAAATTTTCAGTACCCCATTGTGCAAAATTGTTTGGAATAGACGCATCAAAGGAGTCGGATATGTTTCAACATTTTGCTTCCCAGGCAGAATAGGAAGTGATGGGAGGAAGGGGGAAACCAGAAAAGGAAGCCATTTCAGCTACTCTTGTCGCCCTTTTAAAGCCAGGAAAGGGAAAATAGGCTGGGGAAGTTTCTCATTTCACTGCTTATACTTACAACATAGGGAGTTTGCTTTTGTCCTTCAAGGGCTAATAAAACATACCCAGCTTTGCAAATTGCAAATTGCATTCTGCTGACATACTAATTGAAGTATTACTGTGTTTCCCCCCAAATACGACTTACCCGTATTTTAAATAAGCTCTAATCTGATTTTTTTTTGGAGGGGGTGGTGGCAGTGGTGGGTTGAGTAGAGTAGAGTAGAGTAGAGTAG